CCGAACCAGACGGTAGACGGCGAAGCTCATCGGAGAAGAAGGCAAATATTTCGTCAAAGTTGACAGAATATTCTGACGGCATCAGGTAACACCGTTACTATTTAACAAAATATTTCGTCTATTCTGACGGAATATTCCTAATGCCCGTTAGGGTTTTGTCGGCATATGTCGTGCACATGCTTGCTCGTGGCTGCGCGTATGGTCGTGGGTTGGATGACGCGTGAGGGCGTGTCCGGCCTCCGGCCAGTGAGTGATTTTTACATATGGGTCCGTGACTTCGAGTAGATCATTTTCGTATATTTAAAACTTCCATTTGAGCAAACTATGAGAAATTGTTCCTAGATTCTTATGTATGTGCTATTTAATTAACGAAAAATAGTTGTTTCACATATAGGGGAGACATACCCCGAGGAAGAATGCGGGCAAGCGAGGTTAGGGGGCTACAATCCTTCAACATATTAGTGAGTGGACATTTGTTTTTATATCTATATATACACTTTACGGTTTCTAGAAATGTTTTAAATTGAGTTATGCATTTCATGCCACGTCTAAAATGTGTTATATTTTAAATGTTGCATTGTTATGATTTGTGTTTATGCTAAATGATTCTACGAAGGCATAGGTAAGTTCAAGTGAATTATTATGTGATTAAAATGGTTACATCATATTGGCATGCATATATTCATTTAGAGCTGATCATTGTTGCACCCCGGTGTTAGTGCTCCCGCCCCAGGCCAAGGCCAGTCCTTCGCATGATGTTCACCTCCCGCACCGCACGTTCGCCTTGGATCCAAGTTTAGTGCCAGCCTTGTCATACAGGTCACATTAGGTGACCCGCGATTTATCCCTAGCCTTCACATGATCGTAGCACTAGAGCGTACCCTGTCATACAGGTCACACTAGGTGACTCCGACTCGCGTGCTAGCAGAGATTGATGAGCAATAGGTCCAATCATACAGGTCACATTAGGTGACTCCGACTAGCATGCTAATTTAGACTGATTTCACACCTGACTTACATTTATTATTGCTGAGATGTTGTGATGTGGCATGCTTCAGTTTTCACAGCTTTTGTGCATTGATTTTCATACTTCCATAGTATTATTATTTTCTGGAAACTATACGGGTTTTACAGTGAGGGGTTAGTACTTTCAGAAAAGAGAAATGTATTTTCTAAAGCTTTGTTTTTGCCCATTTACCCTTCTGTTTTCGCCCCTCTAGGTCCTAGATAGCTGTTCTCCTTTGTGGCATACGAGGATTACCCCGCGGTTTTGACATTCCACTAAACAATGTAGGGATCTTCTCCCTAGTTGTGTATTTAGAACTTAGTCAATTCGACTGCACCTTTTAATTACCTATGCTCTGAATGTTTGTATCTTGGGTTTGACCACTTCTGCATACTCACTTATTTCTAGTTAAAATAATCTTTAGTTTTGGTTTTATTTTGTTCACATTTTTAATTACTTCTTTTGCACTCTTGGCTACGTCACTCTCATGTGACGGCCAGCATGCCTCGACTCTGGTCGAGGTGTGTCAATTTATTGATCATTCTTGAAAGAAAGAAAAAATAAACAAATCCAAAGCATTAAGACATCCAATTGTAGTGAATAAAATAAACGAATTTGGTTTTTCGAAGATACACTATTATGACTACCACTTAATCCAACAATCAAATGATTTCGATTTGAGTGATTTTTGGTAAAGGTGATCTTTGAGGGAAGATTTGAAAGATGAAGGGTTGGATAGTTGAAATACAACGTGGAGTGGGCCCCATAAAAAACCCTCGAAAAAGTTAATTCACTCAACAGAAGGGGATTGATGTTACATACGTATATTTACACTCCAAGGTTACTATACCAAGGTTGTTTTTTACAATGGGGACGTTAGAACCCATAACCCCAATTTAAAGATTGATTTTTTATTAGCTATCCAACCATGGTAGATGGGGAACCCTACTAACCCGAGAGCTTAAGGGCACACTTTATGTGATTCACCCAAGGTGAACAAACCAAAACCACCATTACCTCACCTGGTTAGGCTTCATCGAGACAACCAACCACTTTAATGCCCTACTTAGTTACAAGCTCATGCTACTAGGCTCGGCAATATCATAGCATTGTGTAAATCATTTTAAACATATTTAATATTTGATTTCTGTTCAATGTGGGACTTTAGCAATTATCTAACCAACAAGATCCTCTCCAGATCCTTTTGGTGAAGATCCTCGAGATTCATAAATCGTGTCTGTTCATCGTACATCATGTAGTCAGTTTTTATCAGGTACTGTTTGTATTTAATTTTAAATAAAAATATTTAAAATGATTTCTGACCGTACAATGTACGATGAACGGATATGATTCACGGATCTCCGTGATCCTCACAAAAAGGATCTGGATTCATTATCTAATTAATAAATAGCTTCCCACTTACCAAGTGTGAAATTCAAAATCCAACAGAGTGATGAATAGAAAGCTCTTCTCATATTGATTTCCAGGTAAGACAGAGTAGCCTTAGAGATTAAGTGTTCTCTCGTTGTGCCCTTATTGGACATAAGAAAAGAAGCTCATACCAGTTTCCATGAACGTAGCCACGTAAATTCCTTGGTATCCATTATTTCCTTTACGTTTATTTTATTTGGTTTTCTCCATTTTTGTAACAAGTAGCCCTTTGAAAATGAAGGAATTTGAGCAGAAGGTGTTATCTACAATGTTAAAGCCATTGAATAGATTCCAATATCCGCTACGCATCTTGCAATACGACTCCTACATATTACTTCGACCAGAAGCCTTGTGACTCAAGGAACAAAAAAGTACTGATAATACGGTGAGTTCGATTTTTTCTGTAAATAGTGATGAGAATGCTTTATCCTCCTCTTCATTGGTGCTTCAATTGTCCCTAGCTTTGTGTAAAACTGTAATGAGTTGTTCTACCGTTCTCGAGACAAATCCAACATTTGCAAGATGAAGAGCTGTATGATATTCCTTCTCGTCAAACTCTGCACCGAACCTAAATGAAACTACTGCAAATACTTCCAAGGTTAGAATTCGGAACTTGTCTTCAATGTTTCAACCTTTAATAGTTAATGTTCTCGAGTCTGCAAGTTTCATCATTTTCTTGATATTTTTGCTACCACAAATGTAACTCCATACCGATGTTATCATTCAACACATAACGTCCTGAAATATTCCACTCTACCTACGCACCAACGTTACTTTTCTAAATGTGGAATTTAGTCATAGATAACCAATAACATAACTATTTAACCATGACGATCAAATGATACAGCGATATGCACCAAAACGCCAGAGCTCGTTGAAAAGAAAGAAAGAGAATTGCCAAGGAACTTACCAAATGTCCCTTCCCTAGCTCGAGAAGCCAAAATCGCCATTCTCTCGTAAGCTTCCCCTCAACGTGTACAGAAATATTTGTCCAGCAACTGTGATGAAATTCCACTTTATCCAAATCATATGCCACTCCACTCGCAATTGACATAAGCTTCATTCAAGCACCAATACCTACACAGTACACACACACACACAAAAAGAACTTACAGATCATCAGCTGCTCAAAATTTTTAAATCACCTGGATGCTGTTTGTTTTAGAACTAAAATCTTATAAGACAGAAAATCTTTCCATTTGATGCTCCGTTTTGTAAACACTTTGTTGGAAAATTTAGTAATAATATTATTATATTAAATTTATTAATTGAATGGAAATTAGAAGTAGAGTCTTTTGGTAGAAAGATGTGTCTACTCAAATGAAGGGTTGCAACTTTTGACTCTTCATGAATAGTCACATGCTTTCCAAATAGGTATCTCACATTCTATAAATAGGGAAGCCTCCTATAATCACCGAGAGAACTTTTCATTGTTTACATAATCATACATAGAGTACACTAAATATTAGAGAGTCTCATTGAGTCCATATGAGAGAGTTTTCAACACAATCGTGGTTCATGGAGCCTTGTGATTTGGAGTGCTACTATTACAAGGACGTGGTTGTTGTATCTTGGGAGACATGCGCTGATCAACCATGAGCACCGTAGTGGGGCGTAAACTTGTCTTAAGGACAAAGTGTCTAACACTTGTCTCGACCGTATTTCTAGGTTTTTGTAGTCCATTATGTCATGTTCATTTAACATTGGTTACTCATGTGCATGCATTATTGTATATATAATTGCATGAATTATTTCTTAGTTTTCTATGTGATTTATTATAGCAATTAGACCCTAATTTTTCCAACAAGCTTAAGACAAGTTTGCCCCTCAGTGGTGCCTCAAGGTTTGCGTTGGCAAATGTCTCACATGATACAACGATCTTTCTCTTTGCGGAAGTAGCACTCCAATCCACAAAGAACACCAAACCAAAAGTGTTTAAAACTCTCTTTATCAGACACTAAACTACTCTAATTTCTAATTGATTTTTGGATGCAAAATTATATCTAGAATGCTTGACTTGATGGTCTATTTCTAGGCATTAACATGCCCCACTTTCAAAGGTTATGTCTGCTTCCAAAAGACAAAGGATGCAATCTTTGTTCAACAGTCATATCCCAACCTTGTGGAAAAGCTGGAGGAAACCGTTTCGGTTTTCAAGTGATTCGAAAGAAATAAGGCGTCTGATGGTTGGTATTAATGCCCACATGTATCAGTGCCTTTTTAACCAATGTGTCTTTCGAAATTCTTGTTTGAATTCAAACAAGAACCGGTCAAACCCATGTCCACTTTCATAACAAGATAAAACTAAAAAGAACTATTGTAGACTGCTAATATAAAGCCAATTCAAGACTAACCCATTTTTTCTATTTTAATTTCCATTCGCTTGAATATTTAATATTTAAATATTAATAATACTAATATTTAAATTATTAAATTTCTAACAATCCCCACATGAATGAAAATTAATAAAAATTAATGCAAATGAAGATGTAGACACTAAGAGAGACTTTGTTGCTTTAATTACAATATATTTATCTTTGTGATCTTTCTCTCTTAAGGGAAAATGGATGATACTAGTAATTCTTCTAGTAAACTGGGCAGCACGTCAGTTGTGAGTGTTGTGCCTGTGGTGATCCCATCTTCCACCAATCATGATGAGAAGCCTGAGAAGTTCAATGGGACAGATTTCAAGAGGTGGCAACAAAAAATGTTATTTTACCTCACCACTCTGAACTTGGCAAAGTTTCTGACTAAAGATGCGCCGATGTCTGGAACTATCGCAAAAGAAGTAGCTGCAGTAGATGCATGGAACCATTCTGATTTTCTTTGCAAGAATTATATCCTCAATGCATTAGATAATGCACTATACAATGTGTATAGTCCAATTGAAAATGCAAAAGCCTTATGGAACTCTTTTGACAAAAAATATAAGACTGAAGATGCTGGCATGAAGAAATTCGTGGTCGGTCGATTTCTTGACTACAAGATGACAGACTCCAAGAAGGTTATTAATCAAGTCCAAGAGCTACAACTTATTCTTCATGAAATACATGCTGAAGGGATGTCGCTAAGTGAGACCTTTCAAGTGGCTGCAGTAATTGAAAAATTACCTCCTGCTTGGAAAGATTTCAAAAATTATCTCAAGTATAAGTGCAAAGAGATGGGACTTGAGGATTTAATTGTAAGATTAAGGATTGAGGAGGATAATCGTTACTCTAAAAAGAAGTCTAACAGTCAATTTATGCAAGCCAAGGCACATATTGTGGAGGGTGGGTCAAAGAATAACAAAAAGAGGAAGCACTCTGGTGAAAGTTCAAGCCAAGGGAATTTTAAAAAGTTCAAAGGCAAGCGTTTTGTTTGCAACAAGATAGGACATCGTGCTAGCAAATGTCGAAACCGCAAAGGCCAAGATAATTCCAAAAAGAAGAGTAATGAAGTACACATTACCGAGGAAGAGAGGCTGTCCAAAAAGATCTCTAACATAAATCTTGCGGCTGTGGTATCTGAAGTCCACATGGTGGGAAACACTAAGGAATGGTGGGTTGACACTGGGGCTACTCGCCACATATGCTTTGATAGAAAAATGTTTACCACCTAGCCAGAAGTTACTCATGGAGAGCAACTATTTATAGGGAATTCTTCTACATCCAAGGTTCAAGGCCTAGGAAAGGTAATTCTAAAGATGACTTCTGGAAAGGAACTTGCTCTTAACAATGTGCTTCATGTGCCTGAAATCAGAATGAACTTAGTCTCTGAACCATTATTGTGCAAAAATGGTTTCCATTTGGTTTTTGAGTCTGATAAGTTTGTACTAACAAAGAATGGAATGTATGTTGGGAAAGGATATCTTAGTGATGGCCTTTTCAAAATGAATGTAATGACTGTTGTACCCAAAATTATCAATAAAGTTAATTCTTCTGTTTATATTGTGGAATCACCAAATATATGGTATGGGAGGTTAAGACATGTGAATTATGATACTATCCGTAGGCTAATTAACATGGACCTATTACCTAAGTTTCATATTGATGTAAGTCATAAATGTGAAACTTGTGTGGAAGCAAAGTCAACTAAAGCACCTTTTCACTCTATTGAAAGAAGTACGGAACCTCTAGAATTAATTCATAGTGATATTTGTGATCTAAAGTTTGTGCAAACTAGAGGAGGCAAGAAATATTTTATTACTTTCATAGACGATTGCACAAGGTACTGCTATGTGTATTTGCTAAGAAGCAAAGATGAAGCCTTAGAAGCGTTCACAAATTATAAGAACGAAGTTGAGAATCAACTTAGCAAAAAGATAAAGGTTATAAGAAGCGATGGGGGAGGTGAATACGTTGCACCCTTTTCTGAATTTTGTACTCAGCATGGGATTATTCACCAAACTACTGCTCCTTATTCACCCCAACAAAACGGAGTTGCTGAACGCAAAAATCGTACATTGAAAGATATGATGAATGCTATGTTGATAAGTTTTGGGGCAGCCCAGAATTTGTGGGGAGAAGCATTGCTTTCTTGCAAACCACATTCTCAATAAATTACTTCACAAGAAATTAGATAAGACACCTTATGAATTATGGAAAGGCACAAAGCCTTCTTATAAATTTCTCAAAGTTTGGGGGTGTCTAGCTAAGGCAATGGTCCCCGATCCTAAGAAGATTAAAATAGGACCTAAAACCATTGATTGTGTTTTCATTGGTTATGCCATAAATAGTAGTGCATATCGGTTTTTTGTACATAAATCGGATAAACCCTAAATACATGTTAATACAATAATTGAATCAAGGAATGCTACGTTCTTTGAAAATGTATTTCCATGGAAAATTGCACAAGAACAAAGTTCTTTGAAAAGAACTTATGATGACTTTAATAACAATCATAAGACAAGTTTTGGTTCATTTGTTATATTTATGGTTGAATGAAAACATCGAAGAAACGATATGTTTATTGGTTTATTTGGTATATTTATGGTTGATTGAAATATGAAGAAACAGTATATTTATATTTGGTTAAAGGGGACACATTTGCGTCCTAGGAATTTTGCTTAAATTGATTCATTTTTCAAGTTGTTAAGATCTGCATGCACGGTATTTAGACATAAATATATGATACTTATTTTCAATTTTGTTTATGCTGGTTGGTTTCCAATTTATCTATACTTAGTTTCTTAATAACCACATGTGACTACGTTGAAACTACAAAGTTTGTTTCCTGTTAGCAAGTAATTTACAAATGCACACAGTGATCAGGAATATAAGAGTATACTTGCTTTCATAACTCTATCCTTATAATATTCTTAAGCGATTACATGTTTATGAATTTTCAAAAATGTCGGTTATTTGGTTATTCAATGCAGAAACTGTATGCGACTTCTGATAGTCGCACCATTTCGTAGTGGGAACTAATTTGGAATGGATGCTTCTTTTTGAGTTCTTGCATGGCACGCAAATGTAATCATACAGATTGCACACGTATGAACTGGAAATGTAGATTTAATTCTAGCGACTCCAAGAAGAGTCTCACCATTTCAAAGCAAGACCACTTGATTAAGAACTTTGAATCTTAATCCGTTTGTATCTCTATGCCTATACGAAAATGAATTGGTGAACCATTCGGTCACTGGTTACGTGCAAAGATGACGTGGTCACTAGTTTGGTTCTTTTCAGACTGTGACCATATCGGTTACAGTGATAGTGCCATTTGGGATTTTGAGTGGCATAAGTTGATTTTCTTTATACTTGAAATGCCACTATATGATATTAGTAGCATAATTGAAAATAAAACCGCATATAGAATGCATTCTAGTCAAACGGTTCTGCTTTTGTTCCCAAGCACATAAATTTCTGAGATGATGCAGCTGCAAAGTGTCCAAAACTCAACTGGCAAAAATTATTGTGCTTCATTTGTATAATACCACTTAGAAGAGGCAAGTTGACCCTTATGAAATGTGTGCATTAACCTAAAAGGAAAAACGAATCCCCTGAGAGGCGAAGTAACGTGATGGTCATCACCGAAGTGTCAAGTGAGTTTTGCATAACTCATGATTGGTCATAGTATCATGAAGTTGTTGAATGGGGACACAAAAGCACTGTTGAATGGCGCCAACAAGTGTTTTTCTTAAAAACACAAGTGGCTTTTATAAAGTCTATGTGAAGATACAAAGAGATTTTATCTTTACAGAGAATTCCTACCTCTTAATATGAAATATAATTTATTAGCGTTAAAAGCAACCACAATATGAGAGGATTGTGGGGGTGACTTAGCTATTTTTGAGAAATGGAATATACTTAAAAAGAATGTAAAAGTAATTTGCTTCTAGAAAGAGATAACTACATATTATCTCTTATAATTGAAGTTTTAAGGTATTGAAAGGTTGGAGATCTTCTAGCAAATACCTTAAATGTGGGGGAATGTACCCGAATGTTAGCAAATTATTTTGTAAGTCCTAACATATGTTTCGAAGGACTTAACATTGGAAAACAACTACCCTCGAATGACTAGAGAGTAAGTTGTATCATCGAGGAGAATGGGTAAAAGCCTACGTCTTTAAGAATCGCTATAATGGCAACCCAACCTAGCTGACTTGAGATCCCAAGATCTAGGTTCAAAGGTACAACCGAATTGTGGATGATTCAATGGAGCACTGCGGAGATTACCTCCCACCCATGTCCTATGATGAAACAGTGTTATCTGCAGCGTATTTAGGATAAACTTTACTTTTAATGATTCATATACTTGGAAATAACAAGTGGGGTATTGCAGGATATTCTTAATGGGAAGTCACCTATCTTGAGTGAGGAATGGGTCATTCCTGTGAGAATTTTTTGAAGGGCTTAGTTCTCTAAAAGCACTCATGAGAAACCAAGAATTGTTCAGGGCCAAAATGAACACAACCGAGCAACCACGGGGTGTTTGGAAGGGTATTGGGTGATTACTATTGTTTTGGTTTACACAAATGTCTGAGCAGTTCAAGACATCGCGTTCACTGATTAGCCAAGTAAATCCGATAGTAATTCACTATGGAATGTTCAAATCCAAAAGCCACCTATTTCGATGCGGTACTTTTCCTATTGAATTCTCTCTCTAGTGTCTGCATTGTCATTTGCATGATATTGAGTCAATTTCCATTCATGTGGAGGATTGTTGGAAAATTTAATAATAATATTATTATATTAAATTTATTAATTGAATGGAAATTAGAAGTGGAGTCTTTTGGTAGAAAGATGTGTCTACTCAAATGAAGGGTTGCAACTTTTGACTCTTCATGAATAGTCACATGCTTTCCAAATAGGTATCTTACATTCTATAAATAGGGAAGCCTCCTATAACCACCGAGAGAACTTTTCATTGTTTACATAATCATACATAGAGTACACTAAATATTAGAGTCTCATTGAGTCTATATGAGAGAGTTTTCAACACAATCGTGGTTCATGGAGCCTTGTGATTTGGAGTGCTACTATTACAAGGACATGGTCGTTGTATCTTGGGAAACATGCGCTGATCAATCATAAGCACCGTAGTGGGGCATAAATTTGTCTTAAGGACAAAGTGTCTAACACTTGCCTCAACTGTATTTCCAAGTTTTTCTAATCCATTATGTCATGTTCATTTAACATTGGTTACGTGCATGCATTATTGTGATATATAATTGCATGAATTATTTCTTGATTTTCTATATGATTTATTATAGCAATTAAACCCTAATTTTTCCAACACACTTCCATTCCAAACCCGAATGACTCAACTAAACATTCAACACAGAATTAAAAACTTATATTAAAAGGTTTCTACTCGAATAGACGTGTGAGCTAATCCCGACAAATAAACAGATTGAAATTGAAAAGTTAAAAGTTTTCAGGCAAGGTCTGATTGCCATATCTACAGAGGAATCAAGCCACACAGACGACAGAAAAAAATGTGACTGAAGGCCGAAATAAGATAGGAAATAAAGTGTTCTAGTAATCCTCTAGTGGTTAACACGGCTTTGCAGTAAGAAAACAAGTACATAATTTATAAGCATATCGAGATGTGAACATCTTTTCAATGAAAAAAAGAAGGCTTTTGATTACCAAATGAAGAAATGACGAACTGCAACAGATCTAAATGGCTCAACTGATAGATGAAAGATTAGGGTACCTGTAAAACGCTGTGGTGCGTTTGAATCACTTATTCATGTCTTTAGAGATTGTTCCTTTGCTGGTAAGGTTTGTTGAAGTTTTCCTATTCCTGATCAAAGTTTTATTGATGCATGTACTAACAATTGGTTCCAGAATAATCTCTCTTCCAAAATATTAGTCTTGGACAATTTAGAAAGGAGACTTATTTTTTGTATAACGTGCTGGTTCTTGTGGCATTTAGGAATCAAACTTTACCAGGATTTTGCTCTCCCTAAAGATTCCAAATCAGTTATTATTGCCTACTTAAAAGATTGGCTTCAGGCGAATATTGTTTCCTCCATAAAGCCCTTTTCAAACACTTGCGTTTCTTCATTGGGAACATCTTCCTGAGGTTTGGCTAAAGCTTAATGTTGATGGGTATTGCAAGGAGTGGTCAATTTTATTGGTGCTGGCGGTGTTCTCAAAAATGCACCAGGGGCATGAGTCTCTAGTTTTTGTGCTAATCTTAGTCGATGTGAGATTCTTTGTGCAGAAGTTTGGGGTGTTTTGTTGGGTTGCAACTTGCGTGAAATAATGGAATTAAAAAGGTTTAGCACGATATTGTTCGCTTTGGGTCTCGACCACGCCCTCACGGTTTTGTTTCTGGGAACTCAAACGAGAACTTTCCAGTGAGTCACCCATCTTGGGACTGCTCTCGCCCTCCACTCGCACCCCCCATTCACTTAACTTCAGAGTTTAGATGGAACTCGAAGCAAGTGAGCTCCCAAAATGCCTCGTGCTATATGGAGGTGGGCATGTACATATAAGGCATAGAGGATCTTCTCCCTAGTGCGATGTTGGATCGAACAAATCAAATTCTGCACTTGCAGCACAATTGATTTAAATGTAAAAGTAGATAATCACCCTTTGGGAAGTTTGGTGTTGAATTGTCATGCTCTTATGCATCAAAGCTGGTCTTGTACATTCGACATTTTTACTATGAAAAGAATTTTGTTATTGATGATTTGGCTTGTTTGGGTATGTCATGCAGTTTGGATCAAGTCGTTTTTTAGCAAGCTCTTTCTTTTTATAGTTGGTTGCTAGTTACAAATATAACTCACGTCAACTCTTTATTATTTAGTAATATTTATCTTCGCTTGTAAATGAAACTTTTAATATTTTACTCACTTGAATGACTTGTTCGAATGTTCCATACTTAAATATTATAATTGACTCATTGTCTTGCTAAGTCAAATTCCAACTCTACAATCACATTGGATGTTCTCTTAGGTACTGTTTGGTACGTGAGACGGGACGGAATAGAGTGGGACAAAGCGTTCCGTCCCACGTTTGGTGCGCCTAAAACGGATGGAACGAGTTGTTCCACGGGATGAGTTTTGGATGAATTTTCGTTCCACCTCACCCCCCCTGGAACGACTCGTTCCACATCCATGGAACACAAAATTATAACATCTCCGTCTTCTTTTTCTTCCTCCTTATTTCCATCTGAGAACATCTTTGCTCCCGCTCCGCTCCGTTCCGTCCCGTCATATCCCGTTCCGTCCCGTCCCGTCTACGTACCAAACGATACCTTACGGTTGAGAGTACGATCCTAACGTCATTAAATGAAACCCACCGGATTTGCAAGTTGCCCTTTATCAAAAATAAATAAAAATAGAAAAAAGAACCCGTTGAACGCAACAACAGGAAAACGCATATTTCTGTGCGAGCCACAGCCGAAGAAGAAAAAGGAGGCAAACTCTCTCCTTCTATCTATCTTTCTCTCTCTCCAATTCGCCTTGGGTTTCCACATCCTCTGCAACAACGAAGCTCTCTCCTCCAAATCGAGGTTTGTTTTCTCAATAGCTTTTATCCTTCTTTCTCTTCTTTTTTTCTGGTAATTTTTACTTTTTTGCGAATAAATTGTTGTCTGGAATTTAGGGGTTTAGTCGAGGATTTTGATTTCGTTTTCTATGTATTCCCAAATTGTACCATGACTAGGGTTTCTACTTTAGGGCTATCAGTTATCTTTGTCAAGATTTTATCATAAAAAAAGGGACCTATATATCCAAATTGTTGTTGGGATTCATTTGGTTAATAATGAAAAAATGCAATGTAAGCTCTGCAATCACAAAAAATTGACATCTAACAATCTCTATGTTGCACAAATGCAAATACGGCGTTTTAGGATTCATATAACCGATCAGTTAGTGGGATAATGCTTGGTTGTTATTGTTTTATTAGAAGAAATTAAGTGTTGTTGGTAACATGATATATGTCTTGTAGCAATTTATATTATCATATATCATCCCTTGAATGAACTCTTTTTGTTTCTAGGGAGATATTGCCAAGATACAAAATCAAAATGTATGGATCCACAGCGAAGCGGCTTCTCCAGCACTTTGGCGGACCGTTGGTTGGCTAGTAGCGGTACCCACATGATTCGATTCCGTCCTCTTCAATCCCTTGTTAGTCGTTCTCACTTTTCCACCACTGTGAACTCTGAACCATTTGCCAATAAACCCCCTAGTTTTGCGAATTCCACATCATCATATGCCGATGAATTCCCTAATATTTCAAATTCCTCGTCGTCAACAGCCGATCACACTAGAGATCGAGAGTGGAATACCAAGATGAGCAAGCTCGTGTGCTCCAAGCCTCACTTCCGCATGTGATAAGGTTGGGATGGAGTGAAGCTGCGATGATTGCTGGTGCGAAGGATGTTGGCGTGTCTCCATCTATTGTTGGATTATTTCCGAGGAAAGAAGGAATGTTGGTTGAGTTTTTCATGGATGATTGTTTGCAGAGGCTTATTGATAGAATCGAGTCAAGTGCAGATGAGCTGAAAAGTTTGATACCCAGTGACCGTATCACCAAGCTTATCCGCATTCGCTTAGAAATGCAGGCACCCTACATATCGAAATGGCCTCCAGCTCTTAGCATCCAGGCACAACCAGTGAACGTCCCCACAAGCTTTAAGCAGAGAGCGATGCTTGTGGATGAGATCTGGCATGGTGCTGGCGACGACACCGCTGATTTTCAGTGGTATGTGAAGCGGACTGTCCTTGGAGGAATATACTCCACAACTGAGATTTACATGCTTACTGACAATTCCCCAGATTTTCGTGATACATGGGCATTCTTGGATGATCGGGTGAAAGATGCTTTTGACTTGAAGAAAACCATTCAAGAGGCGACATACTTGGCAGAAGCTGTTGGTGCTGGAATGGGGACTTCTTTGCAAGGATTTGTGAAGAGAGTCTTTCAGGGGTAAGAAATTACGAAAGCATTCTTTTGCAAGCATCAGTCCTCCCTCCGGTCAGTATACTTGGATGAAATGTTGTGTTAGTTACCACTTTAGTAGTTTCCGGGTGGATCGAAGTTGAAATTACTGTAAATGTTTTCTCTCTGCCGAAGCCTGAGTTACGTTTAGTAGTGGTCTATTACAAGATCCATTTGTTTGTCAACTAAAGTCTGTGTTTGAATGTCTTGGCGATACTTTTGGTACTTTCTCGAGTCTGTTGAACGTTCTGAGTCATACAATAAATAAAAATATAGTTGAATTAAAGGAAAATGGAGGTGTAATTAAAATTGTATGAGGTTTTATATGATGTATACAAAGAAAATGCTTCCTATAATTTAAATTCTTTTGCCTTACAAATGAATTTGTATAACTTCATATCCAGCGCTTTAATAGTTCAACCATGGCTTCGTTGCGAAAAAAATTCCAACGAGGTGCTTCGCTACAGGGGTCGCTCGCTTTCTTTCAAAGGCAAGTTGGTGTTCTTAGCTTCTTGATCTGTGGATTGCATTGTGCAACAGCTCAAGTTTGGTACGCGCATGGCTGAACCCGGTTGTTATCACGACCACTGTATCTTCAAGTGGCTCCGCCCGTTCAGTCTCATCCTTATTTGCAGAACCTTCACGTTTGGGAACATCGTGATTGAACCGACCCTAGTACTGAAGATCCGGACTGCTAATCAACATGCCCTTGTCTACGAGGCTGGAGGGCCCAAGGTTAAGAGGTTCCTTCCTCGACTATGATTGTTTGAACGAGAAGACATACCCACACCGAAGTATATGCTTTATAGATGTTCAACGTCGTAATGGCACGCATTCTCACCAGATTTCCAAAGGACGTAGTTAGTCCTAAATTTACGGCATGCGTGCCATGTAGTGTAACTTTTAAGGTTGCATAAGTACGTTGAATAGTTTGCAGTTCTTCACTGTAAGATTAGTCGGGAATTGCACAACCATTTCCGCCCTGCCCCGAACACCAAAGCTGAAAATTTCGTCAAACTTCTTATCATACCGATACTTATCCTTCATACCCGACCGATTAGACCACCGAGACCCAAACCCGCAAGACCCTACACAATTTCATATAGAAAGTACAGAACCATTGAAGTGTATATTTTGTTCCCTTTTTTTCTCTTAGTCTTTCAGAAGCCAGACGATGAGGAGATGGAAATCCTGAATCATGTGGAAGATTTTTGGTTGCCTCAAAGTTTCTTTGCTAAGGAAGAACCATAAGCGAGCGTCAAGCGGCTGTTTTTGTATTGTGTTTGTTTGAATTGATATGTTCAATCCATGTCTATGGTGAATTTTTCTGTTACGTATGAGATGGAGAGCGTTTAGTAATTTCCTTTGAATTTTCCGTTTGTAGTATTCATCTCTTGATCAATGAATTTCCTTTTTATGTTGACTGAAGAAACAATTAGCAGAGTGAAATTATCGATCAGATGAAATGGTAAATGATCGGTAGCATCACTTACAATCGGCAGGCGTGGAGAAGCGGCACAACGGGCAGAGCCTGCTCTTCGCCAACCACCGAACAATGCAACTGTCATGGTACAGATACCCCAGGTGATTATGAGGGTTGCACTCTCACCTTCTCCAATTTCTCCGGGGAAGATTTAGTTGCTGGTATAAATGTGACTGATCCCCACCAGCACAACCGCCACTATCATCCGGCTTCTCAACCCCGTCAACTTTGATGAATGCCTCCATATGCACACGGCCAATGCCACCTCGAGCACAATACTTTGTCTGCCACCGAGTAGCCGTAGATCCTCCATTGCAACCATATATGTAACGTAAATTGATCAGTAGAACCAGACGTAACAGTTTGTAATATCAGCTGGGTGTAGAATAGCTAGGAGTAGAGGAGTCTTGCTTCTCAAGTCAGACACGAAGCCGTTGAGGAATATTAGTACGTGCTAGTTGTTCAAGCTTGGTTCGAAATTGATTGACATAAGCATCCACTTTGCATTTTAAATTTTAATTTAATTTTTCTCACAGGAGTGATTTTAAATACCGTCACAGTAATAACTCTGTTACATAAAAGTCCTTCTTAATGGTGAACATGAACTAAATTGGGAAAATACCTGTATCCATATTGTGTGAGGGAAACTACTTATCCATCTACTTGTGATTATTGATTAAAATATTTTTACTCTTTAAATATTATAAACGAGACTGTTCATTCTCTCTATTATTATTTAAAGATCGTATATGTAAAAATCATTCAATTTGGAAATCGTTCAGTCATTTATATATATACATCAAATAAATAGATGGTTGATCATAAAGATTATATTTGTTTTCAAAACCGTCAATTTATTCGTGGTGCATACGTGAATGCTAAATGGTATGTAAGTTGAATATTTATTATTGTATTTTTTTAAATTGTTCTTGTCACAATAAACGTAACCAATACGTCAAGCCCAAAAACTATCCTACTAATTAAGAACATTTCCATCCTATTGGGTGACCAAACAAAACCTAAAAATCCCAATAAATTATAATTTTCGTGACGTTAATCTTGTTCTACAAAGTACGAAAATAAACAATTAAAAGGATGAGATTACCACGACGGCAAACTAATGTAAGCCTTTCCTTAAATTATTGAAATGGCAAACAATTTTTTAGTAAGATCAGAAATGGCAAGCAATTAAACAGCTAGATTATACTGTTTTTGGCAATATTTTGTTATCTCTAACGCGTCCAACTAACATATAAATAAGCACTCCATCTCCATGCATGCATTAGTCCTTCATTTGAAAAAAATAAGTCTCCTTCGATCGATCGAATTATTATTATCGAAGATGATTATGAAGAAGTACGTGAAGCTTCACAAGTGCAAGCTCCAGCAAGACCAAGAGTCGTCTCAAAGACCCATGTTAATGGAGGACCACCATCATCACCACCACCAGAGGCGGAGCCACCGGGAAACCAACATAGATGTAGTTGTTGTTGGTGATGATAAAAAAGTTGTTGGGCCCCACACACCTAGGAGCACAAAACTCATGGATGCCATGCGCAATCTCATTGTCCAACGACAACCCTCCAATCTTGCTCCCAAGTCCCAAGAACAACAGTAATAATACTTTTACTATTGCTTCTCAAGAACAACAATAATAACATATATATCATCATGTCTTATGTGATGGTGGGACGGCCGCAACAGGCGGCGGCCGGGGCTTAGCCGAAATGTGTCACTTCTCGTGTTCCGTGAATAGCTTGGATATTGAGGAAGATCTAGAAAGACGTTTAGCTAGAGAATCGGTTTGATTCTATCTCTCTTTTATTCTGGTTGAAGGAAAGAAGGATCCTAACGGATCGATCTGTCTTCTTTTAGGTGTTGAACATGCTTCATGCTTGTACAATAGAATTACATATGGAAGAAAGAATTAAAGGACATGAAGATGATTCTGTTCCTTTTCTCTTTGTAATATACTTGTCTTGCCTCTCTTCATTTTTGTTTTCATTTTCTGGGTTGTGCATGCCCATGAAATTGGCATGAATTAGTATTTCACCCTGTGAAATGTTTTAAGGGTGACTTTTTTTGAACCCCTAAATTTGTTCAACTATCCACTTTAACTTTTTTGGGGGGTTTATGAACTTTAATCAAAACATTAAAATTTAATTAAAATCTGAAGTTAGATTACATATTGATTATAATTTTTTGACTAGATATCCATGTCAACATAAATAATAAAATTCTTATTTGACTTTTGTTTAAATATTTAATCTGTATAATTTTTTTTAATAAATTATTCATTTATTATCTTTAACATCTTCCAATAATAAAAGTGCCTAAAATGTGAAAACATTCCCAAAAAATATATTAGTTATACATAAGGAAAATATGCAAATACAAGTGTACCGAAATCTCCAAAACAGTTGTGAAAGTATGCAAACACCATGGCTAAACCACGGTTGTGTACACCTTTAATTTCCAGTTATAATCGTGTAGAATTTCGGTGAAAAATAAATGTTCACCAACAAATTAAATTTCGGCATGCGAGGGCTTACGAGACATGCGAGGGCGGACAAGTTATCGAGGACACATGTCCGTATTTGATTTTATTTAAATTAAACAAATTAATTAATTTAAATTTAATCAAATGAAAATGCCAAATTGGGAAGATTGATTTGTTTGATTTTAATTTAATTTTAATTTGATTAAATCAAATATTAATTGATGGAGTAAAATCACAAATCATGAATCAAGACACAAATTAAATCCCAGTTCTTTCATAGGCAAAGCTTGGAGAGTCTGTAGATTGGAGGCTCCAAAACAAAGAAAAGAGTCAAGAAAATTATTCACACCCAGATGTGAAAGCTTTGAAACTCTAAAGCTCTCAAGCATCCAAATTCCCAAATACTTAGAAGAATTCAAAAAGAGCTCTATGTTCTTCATCAAACCTTTGAAGAATCATCAAGCACCACCACAACACGTGTCAATTCTTCAATTGACACAAGCCAAAACCTTGAGGCGTTCGTTCATTCGAGATCAAGTCATCGCAACCTTCGGATCAACAACACTACATTTTTTTTTCATCTTCGGGGACTGAATCAGAGGATCTAGTTGCAAAGAGATTGTAACCCTACATTTACATGGATACAAATTTTCTTTGTACGCATGTTCTTGTTTAATTTGCTACATGTATTTTCGTGTTTACAAATTGTCTGTGACATATTCTCATATTTTGCAAACGTCCTGTCACATCATCATTATCAATAGAATCAAATACATTTTTCTCAATGTATACAACCAAAGACGAATCCAAAAACCAAAATTGAGGTAAGCTGAACTTTGAAGCCAAAATGTGACATCCCGTCCCGGAAATATTAAAACGTACATGTGAATTGTCAACTTTGCCCCTAGTTCGTTTTTTTGACGTAATTGGTTGTTTTGTGTGTGTGGCATGTGTTGGACCACACCCACACCTGCACACACACTGTCTCACTCTCCCTTTTCCTCTGTCACTTTCCCTGTCTCTCTCTCTCCCCCGAGTCCTCTATTCTTCTTCTTCTTCCTGCAACGTACGGACACACACACAACTAAACTAAATCATCACAGATCGAAGAAACTAAGGCCATATTCAAGCTCGTGAAGCTCGTGGGAGTACAGCTGTACCATTTCCAGGTGAGAAACCAGTCGTTTTCACGTCGATTTCTTAAGCTCAGATTTGAGTACTGTTCATTCAAATTTAACCTAGCTAGTTTTTGGGATTTTGAAGCTTGTAGTTGTGTTTGTGAGGTTCCCAGGAGCCTTGGAGTGCTTCGTTGGACAAATTTGGACGTCGGGAAAGCTTGGTTCGAAGTTGGCCGGTTTTTGAGTTTGAAGACA